AAAGAACTGGCAACCCATAATTCTACATCCAGCAAAAACATCACTTAACAGTGAAGATGAAATAAAACATTCTCAATGAAGAAAACAAAAATAATTTGTTATCAGCAGACCTGCCCTAAAAGAATCACTAAAAGGATTTCTTTGAATAGAAAGGAGATGAGGAGGAGCCAAGATGGGAGAACAGAGAGACTGACAGCTCGTCCTCTCCCACAAATACACGAAGAATTACATCTACAAACCCACTGAATTGCACAGAACACCTACTGAACTCTGGCAGAGTATCTCTCATTTTGAAATACAGGAGGATTCTCACAAAATCCAATCAAAAACAAATTTATATTATATAGCACAGGGAACTATATTCAATATCTTATGGTAACTCATGGTGAAAGAGAATATGAAAACAAATATACGTATGTTCCTATATGACTGAAGCATTATGCTGTACACCAGAAATTGACACAACATTGTAAACTGACTATACTTCAATAAAAATATTTTAAAAAAAAGATACTCACATAAAATCCACAAACTTTAATGATTAAAAAAAAAAGATGATACCAGAAGGAAACTTGGAATATCAGAAATAAAGGAAGAGCAACAGAGATGATAAATATCTGGGTAAATGTAATAGACTATTCTCCCCTTGAATTGTTTAGAATACGTTTGAAGGTGGAAAGCAAGAAATATAACATTATAAATTCTCAACATACATGGCTATTATATATAAGTATAGCATAAAGGAGTTAGGAAAAGGTAAAGACTTTTATGGTGGTAAGATACCTACATTTCACTTGAAGTGGTAAATACTGATTAAGTCCAATGTGAAAAGCCAAAGATGTATACTGTAATTCTAGAGTAACTGGTACAAAACTATACAAAAAGATACCGTAAAAGTATAAGTAAATTAAAATAGACTACTAAAAAAGAATGCTGAATAATAAAAAGAATATTACCAAAAAACCCCAATAACACTAAAGGAAGAAAGGAAAGGAAAATCAAAGGAATGAAAAGCTGGGGAAACTAACAGAAAAACAACAGAATGGTATCCCCCAAATCAGAACATATTAATAATCATATTAAATGTAATTGTATAAACATACTAAAATTTAGATTGTCATGCCTGGACCCAGCCCCGCCCACCTATAGGCTAGAACCAGCCCTGAGACATCCAGGGTCATGCAGCCAGCTGTGCTGGGAACCAGCTCCATTGCTAGCAGACTGGCACCACATAGCCAGCCGACCCAGGACCTGGCCCCACCCACCAGCAGCCACTGCACAAGGCAGGGTCTCGCAACCAACCAGGCTGGAGCCAACCTCACCTGCCAGAGCACCCACAGCACTGGGTCCCATCCCAACAGAAAGGCCCTTGCAGAACACATGGGGATACCCCTAGAGCACACAGCTCTGGAGACCAGAAGGGAGTGTGCTGGTGGACCCCACATAACGTCTCCTATATAAAGCTGCTACTCCAAGAGTAGTGAATGTAATCAACCTACCTAATATTTAGAAGTAAACACAGAGCATTAGGCAAAATGATAAGAAAGAGGAATGTGTTCCAAATGAAGGAATAAGACAAAACCTAGAAGAGGAGCTAAGCGACTGGATATAAGCAATTTACCTGACACAGAGTTCAAAAAAACGATCATAAATATGCTCAACAGACTCAAAAGAAGAATGGATGAACGCAGTGAGAAGTTTAAAAAAGAGAAATAAAACATAAAAAAGACTAAACAGAGCTGAAGAATACAATAATTGAAATTAAAAAAATACAGTAGAAGGATCCACAGTAGGTTAGATGATATAGAGAAATGGATCAACAAGCTGGAAGACAGAGCAGTGGAAATTACC